TCACAGAATTTGTCTTCAACAGAGTTGAGCTACATGAAATTAATATTAAAAGAAATTCTTCAGAAAAGGAAATGTATTCCAAAATGCAAGCACAGATTTTAATGGAGGAAAGAAGAGCACTGGAAAAGCTTCAGATTATTATTTTTCTTTGCTTAAAGCAAGAAAAATATATAATGAGATTTATAACATAGAGAAATAAAATATATAACACTGTCACAAGATATAGAAGGTTTAAATGGAATTATATTAAGTGAAGGCTATCCATCCCTGTGCCACCCAGGCAGTCTGGCCCCCAAGCAATTTCTCTTAACCACTGTGCAATGCTGCTGTTTGTCAATGAACACTTTTGTCACTACTTGATTCTTTCACCAAGTTGCAATACTGACAATAATGTATAGCATCATTATCATTTTAATCAAATCATGATTGGATAGAGAAATCCGTAAGATTCCAAAGGCCTGTCCTGCTCACAACCTCTTCTAAGTTGCCAGAGTGGGTCCTTCCACATACTTGTCTGTGCCCTGTGGCTTGTGACACTGCTATACTGGCCACAATTGACTGTACCAGGAATTTGTGCCTTAAAGACAGTCGTCCTCTGGGTGGACATCAGAGAGACCAGAATGACCCAGTAATCTGTGCCCAATCAGGAGGCTCTCTTTTGGATTATAACCAATCAGACCTCTTTCAGAGACAGAAGTAGCAGAGGAAACGTGCAGAGAGAAGCTGGAAAACACAGGAATAAGAGTGTGCATATTGTGACTATATAGCAATGGACATCTATTTCAAGACGAGGCTACAACCGGGCCATCCAGACTGCTGGGTGCACTACATGACAAAGACCTATTTTCTGCCGAGGCCGGTTTGGCTCAGTGGATAGAGCGTCGGCCTGCGGACTGAAGGGTCCCAGGTTCGATTCCGGTCGAGGGCATGTGCCTGGGTTACGGGCACATCCCCAGTGGGAGATGTGCAGGAGGCAGCTGATCGATGTTTCTCTCTCATCGATGTTTCTAACTCTCTCTCTCTCTCCCTTCCTCTCTGTGGAAAATCAATAAAATATATTTTTTAAAAAAAAGACCTATTTTCTCAGCTTTCCAAAAAGCTGTGCTTCTGATGAGATGATGGGCTTACTGTTCTCTATATTCTTTTATTATTATTATTATTATTATTGATTTTAGAGAGAGAGGGAAAGAAACATTAACATGAGAGTGAAACATCAATCAGTTCCCTCCTGCATGGGCCCCACCAGGATCAAACCCGCAACCTTTCAGTGTATGTGACAACACTCCAACCTGAGCCACACCTGCCAGCGATGTCCTCTACATTCTTAAAAGCCTCCAGCATTTTAGGTAACATGCCTTTGTTCCTTGCAACCTCAAGAAGCCTGTCCAAATTTATCTTTAAAAAAAAAAAAAAAAGCCAGACCTGCAATATACAGCACATTAAACCAAATGATTCAGGAATAAAAAACATGTAAAAAGGGGTTATATAGCCTGAGGCACTGGCACTTACTTCAATACAGGGAATTTTTAAATGTGTTATGAAAATTACTACATAGTAGTTCAAAGATAAATGAAAATGTGAATAGTTAAGCACCCACAGAATCCTCTCAATGCCATTTAAAAAACAAGCATTCTTCAAACTGTAATTGAATTCAAGAATCAAGGGCAAATTTGGGAAGGCATTGATATCTCTGCATATTTTCCTACACTTTTTTTTTATATTTTATTGACTTTTTACAGAGAGGAAGGGAGAGAGATAGAGAGAAACATCGATGAGAGAGAAGCATCGATCAGCTGCCTCCTGCACATCTCCTACTGTGGATGTGCCCGCAACCAAGGTACATGCCCTTGACCGGAATCGAACCCGGGACCTTTCAGTCCGCAGGCCGATGCTCTATCCACTGAGCCAAACCGGTTTCGGCTTCCTACACTTTTTATGTCAAAGCTAAAGTGATTTTCAGCTCATAAAGATCCCTTTTAAAGATACCTCAGTTAAAGACATTTTCCCTCTATATGTATCTGTGAATCTTTTTGTCATAACCAAAATCGGCTATTAGGAAGAGGATATATATCGTATCTAATTCAACTTGGAAAACGAAAACCAGGCGCTCCTTAAATTGTCAACTGAGCCGTAAAGATTTGTCTCACATCAATCTGAGGATCTTGGTAAACACATAAGCTTTCAATTATTCTGACTTAAGAAAATCGCATGAAACACTAATAACCACTCTGGTTTCCTTAGCATCCCAGTACATTTAAAAAGCTTACACTTTCCGGTGGTAATTATTTTGAAGTTTAGCATTCATAGCGTTTTCAAAGAAGTCAGTAATACAGCTCTGAATTTACAGCTGAGAAAAGGATTTAAACAAAACGAAATTAATGTTTTAAGGTTACACAATGAATCAGTGGCAGAAGTAGGATACAAATTTTTGACTTTATAGTTTCCAGATGAGAAAAATACAAGTATTCAAACCACTTTAGATAAATGAATTTTCAATGCATTTCCCCTATGATATCACTGTCCTAGGAATCCCTGTAGAAGACAAAGTCTTTGCCTAAATGTTGGCTCATTATCCCTCCTTTGGCAGTAGACAATACCTTGCAGGTGGTACAACTTTGTTTGTTTCAGGGAAGGAGCACTTTAATTGGGTGTTAAAGAGATTGGGAGTGTTTTCCACACTGAATGCACCCGCTCAGTTAGGAAACCTCTGAAGCATTAAGAGAAAGAGGTTAGAAACCCAGATGGGAGCTTAGGTGTGCATACAACATAAACCCATAACAGTACCAGAAAGGAAACAAAGACAACACACAAGGATTGCTCATACAGAACTGCATACTTCTGAAGAAATAAATTACAATACTTTATTTTCAACGTGAAAAGTATTCCCCCAATAAGCATCCATACAAGCTCCATTTTCTTTATGGTCCCACTTCTTTTATTCACAGTTTGTTTTTTAGATTCTCCAAGTCAGTCTGGCATATAACGTTAACACTACTATAATTCCAATTCTCTACTTCGAACAACATTTTCATATATTAAGATTTCTGAAAGCTAAGTGGTATGATTTTAAAATACAGCTTGCTTATGAACACTGCTACAATGCTTCTTCCCTTACAAAACATTAATGTAGTAAATATTTAATATTAAAATCATTTATTTATGACTTGAAGTTATTTTATTATAATTAAGTTGAAAATGTAAACAGCTTAATTTAATAGGTAACTAGTATTTTAACACATTTTGATTCTGAAAACCCAGTTAAACACAAATATTTTCTATTTTAACCCTGTTCAATAAGTTTCAAATTATTCATACAGCATTTTCATAATATATTCATAAAAAACTTGCTACCAGCTAAAGCATTACATTGTCAGATGTAACTACATAACTCACATCTGCTTAATACAATTTTATTACTTTTATCTACCTTTCTACATTTTCTGTTAAGATTCAGGCTGTATTCAACTGACAATTACAAAGATAACCTGTGTAATGGAGGGTGTGGAGTCCCTTGCAAATACTGTTAGTAGGAATGTAAATCGGTAGTCTTTTTGGAGTTCAATTTGGCAACAATTATCAAAATTAGGTATGTGTGTGTGTGTGCGCGCGCACACACACACGCGCACACACACTCACACACACACACACACACACAATTTGACAGGCAAATTAATGTGCTCACATTACTGAGCCAAGATATGCACAAAAAGGTCAACCCAGCATTGTCTGAAATAGTGAAAAATGAAATGAGCCCACCTGTGCCGAAGAGGTACTAAAGCAGGCCTTGAGACTGTCACCCTTGGGAAGGCTTGCTTGCCAGGCTGGCCTTTGACTAGTGTCTGGGAACTTGGCTGGTGAACAGTTTCCTGCATTGACATAAAGCTTTCCCCAAGGATCCAAACCTGGAAGGACCTAGAAGCCACAATGGAACTGATGTACTTCAGCATATAACCAAGGGCCACTTGCACTGAGACTCAACTGGCTTTAAAATAAACTTTCCTTATTGTTTAAGCCATTTTGAAATAGCTTAATGCTTGCAGCCAAAAGTACTCCTCTGGACTTCCGTTTCCATTGGCTTACGTGAAATGACAACTATAGGCCAGAGTCTGTTTTTGTATCTAGATGTACCACTTACTAACTTTGTGAATGTGGGGAAGGCATCCTGAGGTACTTTCTTCATTGTTCATGTGAAATGATACCTTGTATTTTATTAGCATTGTTATGAAAAAATAGAGGGCTACTCACTGTCTTAGCTGTACAAGGTTTGTAAACTTTAATGATCAGACAAGTTTATTCAAATAACCTGGTATATAAGTGGCCAATAATGGCTCCATATCTCCAAGTGCCCCAACCCTAGAATATTTAAATCCCAGAAGCTCTGCTCAATGTCCACATTATGAAAACTGCCCCATCTATTACTGGAAACATCTTAAGTCAGTCATGGGAAACAATTTTGTTTAGTAGCTAGCATGATGACATAGATTCTAATAAATCAAAGCCTTACTTGGGCTAGTGTTAGCATTTTGATTTTACAAGATTACAGATATCACACACTGTCACTCACTACACACTTGTAGAATTCCTGAATATACAATGCTGAAAAAATGCATGAATACAATCAACTGTAAGACAGGCTGCGCACACATGATGTGGAAGTGATCTGCCACTGGCAGCAACTTAACATGGCTCAAGCAATCTCCATTTAAATGTCTCAGATGAGAAATTAACAGGGAGGCACATTCAGGAAGCTATAGAATTTTTTTCTGAGTACCAACTACTCTGTACCACAGACAAATTCTGAAATTTACATTACCACTCTTAAAGGTTTCATCAGAAATAATCAATATTTAAATGTACTTAATGTATTTACTAATCATGTTATAATATGTGTGTGTATATATATATGTATATATGTATATATGTATATATATATACATATATATAGAGAGAGAGAGACACACACACACATACATATATCTATACATATATAAACAGATATATAAACACATACGTATATCTATACATATATAAACATACATAAATGTTAGGCCACAGGGAGCTTTAAAACAAGCACCAAAAAATATTTAATTGATCACAGCAGAAACTGAACTTCCTAAGATATCAATCACATAAGTTACTGACCACATAAGTTTCATATATTAAAAACTAAAGCAAATAAGGCAAAAACTTTAGTGCGCTTAACCATACAATATACAAAATAAATCCATTACCAGAGTGTAGATACAAAACAATTAGCCATTTACATGCAATTAACATTAATAATTCAAGAAAAAAAAGATTTTAAATATAATATTACCAAAACTGTACTAACATAGTGTAATAACACAAAAGCTATAGGAAATATTAAAAATCTGCAAATAACAGGATTACACTATTATATTATAAATCAAAATTTTCTCTCCTTACACAGATTTCATAAAAGAACATTTTGAAAATAAATTTGAGTAAGTTCTTACTCTCAGTATGTGTCTTTTGGTTCTGGAACTACATTAAAGTATTGCCATGTCAAAGGTATCACCTACAGTTTCCCAGAAGGATCGTCTTTAATAGTGGCAGTCTTCCTGTTCCATACACAGAATGTAACTCTCCTGTCAGAAAGCTCAAAATTGAACTACACCAGCCTCTTTGTTCTGGGTTTTCTTTTCCTCTTGAGTGACGTGACCTCTAAAAATATAAAATTAAGAAGTCTGTCAGGTCTAAAAAAATAATAATAACATACATTGAAACTATACAGATGTTTAATTGGTATTAAATAAGAATGCCATCACAGCAAAACTCCAAGAAATCTTAAACCTGACATATACATGATTTTTTTCCTCAAAATGATATTGTAGTTGAAAACTTACTAATGCAGACTCTAGTCATCCTAAATCCTACTTAACAATAAGCTACTCTGAAGATGTTTCATATGGGTATGCCCTCCCTATAATCAGCATGGATCCAGTGTGCCCATCTGAAAGGTATCCAGGCCAGTGCTAAGAGAGATGAAGAGCCAAGGATTTCAGTTTCACTTCACTTAAACCTGAAAATGTAACCCAGGACACTAGTACCATACATCTTTGTGGCTACCACAGCAGACACCAGATCCAACACGAAAATAGGTGTCCATCTAGAAATAGCTGTAAACCTAACAGTTACTGGTAATTAAAAACAAAACAACAGAAGATAAAAAAACATAAAAAATGAAAAGAAATATTCCCCATCAGTGCAAAATACAAGGGGAGTAACAGGAAAAGGAATAAGAAAGGACAAAGGAAAAAGTAAGAGAAAGGAAAGAGACTGCTAGAAGAGAGCAGCAGTCAGGACAGAGTGCAGCAGGCCCCATGAACAAACTGTCCGGAGTAGAGCAAGTCACAGGTGTGGAAGAGACTTCGTTAAAAAGATGAAATTGCCCTGGCCTGTGTGGCTCAGTTGATTGGGCATTTGTCCCGTGAACGGAAAGGTTGATGGCTTGATTCCTGGCCAGGGCACATACCCTGGTTGTGGGCTCGATCCCCGGTAGGGGGTGTGCAGGAGGCAGTTGATGGAGGTTTTGCTGTCACATCAATGTTTCTCTCTCTCCCTCTCTCTAAAAACCAATTTAAAAATCTTTAAAAAAAAGATAAAACTGATAAAATGCCTAATGTGTTTTGAGTATATCAAGAGGAGATTTATACAATTGAAGAGTGGTCTGGGGGTAAATCAATGATAAGCACATGAAAAAAAAATCAGGCAAAAAAGTTATTAACTCTCTAGGGAAAATAATAAATGCATAGATTAAGAAAAAATCATAGTCTATTCCACGGCCCTCCTGCCAATAATGTTTTGTAAATGTTGAATACCAATACAACTAAAATAATAATTATATTGGGCGGGTGGGGCTGGGAAGCGTTCATGTTTTTGGGGTGAGAGGCGAAGAATATGAGAGAATTAAATCCTCGCCTTCCTCAGTGGGAAGCCAATAGATAATCCACAGAATTGAAATATGAAGAAATGGCAATATAAACATGTTATTTAGAGACACAAAGGTAATTAGTAATTGGGTTAAAAGTGTTGTTTCTGGGGATTAATAAATGGGAGTCAGAGTTAGAAGACTGATTTCTTATGAGTACTATAAAATTATTTGAATTGTAAAATAAATTATGTGCATATGTAATAACTAGTGGCCCTCTGCATGAAGATTCACGCAATAGGCCTTCCTTCCCCTGGCTGTTGACACCGGTTTTCCTCCGGCACCCAGGACCCAGGACCGGTTTTGGTCCGGCCCCAGCAGCGAGGCTTGGCTTCTCTGCTGCGGCTGCTCCCAGCCCCTCCTTTTATTTTATTTTCTAGCTCCTTCAGCGGAGCCCAGGGCAGACTGGAAGCCTGGGTTGCCCCCAGTGACCCAGGCCCCCAGCCACTCCTTGAGTGGAGCCCAGGACCCCAGACCCTCCTTGAGCAGAGCCTAGGGCAGGCTGGAGGCCTGCCCCCAGCCACTCCTTGAGTGGAGTACAGGGCTGGTGGGAAGCTTGGCTTCCTCTGTCGCCAGGAGCAAACCAAGCCTCCTGCTCGCTCCAGCTCTGTGGCCACTGCCATCTTCATTCGTCTTTAGTCTTCGCTCTGAGCCTGCGTATGCAAATTAACTGCCATCTTTGTTGGGTTAATTTGCATAGTCACTCTGACTGGCTGGTGGGTGTAGCGGAGTGGCGGAGCGATGGTTAATTTCCATGTTTCCCTTTAATTAGTGTAGATGATTAATGAAAACCAAATTTTTAATAAAAACAAGCTGATAGATTTTCAAACAGGACTTGTCAGCTGGCCTAAGGTATGTGTGTGATTAATAGTTTACACACAGTAAAAGCCTGCAAGCAAGACTGGAGAGAAGCTAAGATCTAAAATTCACCGCAAGATTGTAAAGGACTGTTTTATGCTGACATAGCAAACCACAGAAATGCTCAGATTTCTGAGGGAACAAATAATCCCTTTTAATTGTCTATTCTGTCTTCCATAGGCTTCTATAGCACCCTGCTTCTCTTTACCATCATGCACTGGCTTATTTTCCTCCCACACTAAACTTTAAGGTCCTTGGGGACACAGACTGCTATAAATCATTCAACAAATATTTAGGTCCACTATGGGCCAGTCACTGTACTCAGATCCACTCAGATCTACAATCACAGTGATTAAAATAATATGGTTCTTAAATTATTATAGTATATATCTTTATATACTATGAGAATTTAGCTAGTACTTGAAAAACAAGAGGCACCCAATAAATGCTTGCTGATAATACATAGCCCAAATGAAAAAGTCAAGTCATTGGCCAGCTGGTGTGGCTCAGTGGCTGAGTGTCACCTATGAACAGGAGGTCACAGTTCAATTCCCAGTCAGGGCATATGCCAGGTGCAGGCTCAATCCCAAGTATGGGGCATGCAGGAGGCTCATCAATGATTCTCTCTCATCATTGATGTTTCTATCTCTTTCCCTCTCCATTCCTCTCTGAGATCAATTCAAAACAAAAATTTTTAAAGAAACTTAAAAAAAGAAAGTCATTAGGCATTATCCTAATACATATTACATTCATTATCATTGATGGATTACCAATTACTACTCTTAAGTATCTACATTAACAGTATGATTAATACAAAAATTCTCCAATATGCCAAAGATAAAAACAAGAACACAGAACCAACCATCATGATCTTTAAGGGTTCTAAACCTTAATGCTCTGAGCATAGCTTTCTTTCCCAGTTTGACAAAACCTCATCTGTACCTGTTTCACTCTGACTTCCGTTCTCCTCATCCTCCTCTGTAATAACAGGCATACTCAGACTCAAACATCTATCTTCCTTATGTACATTCTGCTTGTCATCTGGAAATAAACAAAAAAGTGGTTTTATATCAAAAAGAATGTTATTCTTTAAGAAAAAAAATATTTATACAAATAATGTCACTATTATAAAAAATAGATGTTTAAACTAAAAGCTAAAACTGTAATGGTAAACAGAAATATGCATGTTAAAATATATATCTTTAAGTATTAATACATTTGTATTTATGCTTTGAAATAGTCTCTAATTCTTCCATTAAAGAAAATGGAGGAAAGGGGAAGAAACAAAATTAGCCAAATACAGATATCTTATTTAATCCTTGTCACACACAGCGCAGTATGTTATCTGCTGCTATCGGGATAACCACATGTGTTACTTTGACTGTATTAATTAATGACAAATGTAATTTTAAAGTTAATAGCCTTGTTTTTGAATGAAGACACACTTCCTTTTATCACCACATATGCTCTACAAGACATATTTCTCTACTTATAATTTGCCATTGACTTTGCATTTTCCAAAACATTGGAGGTTTTCTACATCAACCTTCTGTTGTCTGAAGAAATATCCTATTCAAATTTATCAGATACCATTGTCAGATCAGGTCTCATTTAGCACATAACACCCATGTCCCAAGAGCAACCCCCTCCCAAGAGTCACTATTCCTTACTAGAGGCCCGATGCACAAAAATTCGTGCAAGAGTAGGCCTTCTTTCCCCCGGCTGCCGGCACCGGCTTCCCTCTGGCACCCGGGACCTGGGCTTCCCTCCTCCCGCCGCCCACAGGCACCCGGGACCCCGGCTGGCTTCGCCTGGGCCCCAGCTTCATCAGAAAGGACATTCGGAATGACGTCCGGAAGACGTTTGGTCTAATTAGCATATTACCCTTTTATTAGTATAGATGCTTCCTCATTCTTCTCCATAACACATCTACTGCCTGACATACTGTATATTTATTTGTTTCTTTACAGTCTGCCTCTCCCACTAGGATGTAAGCCTCACGAGGATAGGTTTTGGTTTAAGTTGATGTACTCCAGCACTTAGAAAAGTGCCTGGCATATAGTAGAGCTTCAATAAGTATTTGTTAAATGATTACATATGATTCAACTATTTTATAATAAAATATTTCATACAAGTATCTATACTAACAATAGCCTAGATGGTCGTCACGCCCTCACATCGTCACAAGATGGCCGTCACAAGATGGCTGCACACACAGCAGAGTTGGGGCCCAGCGGCCACTCTGCGCGGTGAGGCCTGGGGGTCCCGTGGCTCCGCGTGACACAGAAGAGACCGGTCCCGCCACCTTGCACAGAGGAGGCAGGTTAAGGCAAGGGAGGGCAGTTGGGGGCAATCAGGCCAGCAGGGGAGGGCAGTTGGGGGCCATCAGGTTGGCAGGGGAGGGCAGTTGTGAGCCATCATGCTGGCAGGGGAGCAGTTAGGTGTCAATTGGGCCGGCAGGGGAGTGGTTAGGGGGAGATCAGGCAGGCAGGCAGCTGAGCAGTTAGGAGCCAGCAGTCCCGGATTGTGAGAGAGATGTCCGACTGCCGGTTTAGGCCCGATCCCCTGCCGGCCTGATCTGGCCTAAACCAGGTAGAGCAGATGAGTGGGGGTGCCAGACCAAGGTGGGGCTCTAGTCACTGTCATTGGGCAAGCCTCTGGTGGTTACTGAAAATTCTTTGCTCCCATGTGCCACGGTCCTGCTGGGTGCTTGCATCTGCTGCCGGTGCCGGCCCCACTCGCACCCGCTGCCGGCACCAGAGCCGACGCTTGCACCCGCTGCCAGCACTGGAGCTACCGCTTGCACCTGCTGCCAGTGCCCAGCGCCAATCCCAATTGCTCGGCACCATCAGCAGGCGCGAATGGCGGCTGCCAGCCCCAATTGCCCCTGAGGGCTTCTCCACCTCCCCCTACTCCTGAGGGCTGATTGGGACCGGCAGCCGCCTCTCACACCTGCTGCCAGCGATGGCCCCAATTGCTCCACACCATCAACGGGTGTAAGCGGGGCCAGCGCCATCAGCACATGGTTAGCAGCGGCAGCGGAAGCGGGGCTGCCAGCAGACAGGGGATCCGGGGCCACAGTGGGAGGGGCCGGGCAGGGGCGCGGAGGATGGGCCAAGACCCGCCCTTGTGCCCACCACAACCTCGCCGCCCACAGTTCCTTTCAAGGTGCATGAATTCGTGCACTGGGCCCCAAGTATGCTAATGATATGCTAATACCACTCAACCACTCATTATGACATGCACTGACCACCAGGGGGCAGACAGTCAACTGATCAACCAGTTGCTATGACGTGCACTGACCACCAGGGGGCAGACGCTCTGACCAGTAGGTTAGCTTGCTGCTCGGGTCCAGCTGATTGGGGCTAAGCGAGATGGGTCAGACATACATACCCTGGAGCCCTCCCATGGTCCCTCCCCGGCCGGCCAACCTCCCGTGTCCCTCCCCAACCCGGATTGTGCACCAGTGGGGTCCCTCAGCCTAGCCTGTGTCCTCTCACAACTCCGGGCTGAGGGACCCCACACCCCGAGTGCACGAATTTCATGCACCAGGCCTCTACTATGTTAATAAGTACCTGTTAGCACAGAAGGCAAGACATTAAATGAAAATGAGTTTAAGCATTCTGCTCTGAACAACATATACTGAGATCTTAATGGGGTACAGATTTTATGGAATGAAGAGACTGCTCTAAGATGGAGTTGAGTAAACTGTAGCAATAAGTTTCCATTTTGAACACAATTAAAACTTAATATCAATTTCTACTGAGTCATTAAAATAGAATTTTACCCTTACTTGCAAGTCCTACATATTAACTACTATAATTTTTACATGATTTTTAAGATGATAATCTTTTAGAAAATCTGTTTCCATTTCTAATCACATTTTTTACACCTAGAACCTATAAATTTTTCAATTGTTCACAAACTTATAATTAGTATGCTCTACCTAGAATTATTAATATTGTTCTTCACAATCGTTTAGTCATGTCCATCCATATCAATTATTAATGATTTTTTTTTCTTTTTTAATTGATTTTTTACAGAGAGGAAGGGAGAGAGATAGAGAGTTAGAAACATCGATGAGAGAGAAACATCGATCAGCTGCCTCCTGCACATCTCCTACTGGGGATGTGCCCGCAACCCAGGCACATGCCCTTGACTGGAATCGAACCCGGGACCTTTCAGTCCACAGGCCGACGCTCTATCCACTGAGCCAAACCGGTTTCGGCTATTAATGATTTTTTTAATCCACATTTACAACCTAACAGAATCTATCCAACAATGTCAAGGGAAGAATTTCTGAGTTCAAAACTGAAAAACAAACCTTTGTCTAGTCACATGATAACTGACTGCAATTTAGAAATCTAGTACTTCTACACTAAATGAATGTTTAAAAAATAAAAAGCAATATTCTCGCCCTGGCCCTTTGCAATCTCAAAGTTACCTAACAAACTGCAGCTGGGCCAGACAGACCCAGAACTTCCAAGAGAAGGCCCAAGGCCCCACAGCAGCTTGCATTGCTTCACAGCTGGGCCTCATCTGGGCACCTCCAAACCCCAAACAAGGAAGGGGAATCTGCAGATCTCTTCGTAGCTCCTGCTGGGTAGCCTCAGGAAGAGGCCAAATTAGCACCTCCTTAGATCCAAGAGCCAGTGTACCCAGTGGTCAGAGTGGGACCATCCAGATTACAACTCCTCAGATCCATAAGGGACACACTCAGGGGGTAGACTCAGTGAGCACCAAAGCCACACTGAAGCAAGTCTTGCCCCAGAAGGGTGTCTTCAGCACAGAAGTTCTCCCACTGTAGACACAGCTGATTCTCACAGCCAATTGGCCTGGAGGTCAATTCCTCCCAGTGATACCTACAACAATCAAGGCTTAACTACAACAAGACTGTGCATAAAGCCCACAAAGGGGTGCACCAAGAGTGTCCACCTCAGGTAACTGGGGAGGCTTAGCCACTGGGCCCTATAGGACACCTAGCACACAAAGCCACTCTACCAACACAGGGAAGCATAAAAAATGCGGAGACAAAGAAACAGGTCACAAATGACAGAAATGGAGGAAAGCAAACTACTGGATATAGAGTTCAAAACCACGGTTATAAGGTTTTTCAAGAATTTTCTAGAAACCGCCAATAAATTTAGTGAGACCCTGGAGGATATGAAAAAAGACCAACTAGAAATTAAGCATACACTGACTGAAATAAAGAATAATATACAGAGATCCAACAGCAGACAAGAGGATCCCAAGAATCAAGTCAAAGATTTAAAATACGAAGAAGCAAAAAATACCCAACCGGAAAAACAAAAAGAAAAAAGAATCCAAAAATATGAAGATAGTGTAAGGAGCCTCTGGGACAACTTCAAGCTTACCAACATCCGAATTATAGGGGTGCCAGAAGAAGAGAGAGAGCAAGATATTGAAAACCTATTTGAAGAAATAATGACAGAAAACTTCCCCTACCTGGTGAAAGAAATAGACTTACAAGTCCAGGAAGTGCAGAGAACCCCAAACAAAAGGAATCCAAAGAGGACCACACCAAGACACATCAAAATTAAAATGCCAAGGGCAAAAGACAAAGAGAGAATCTTAAAAGCAGCAAGAGAAAAACAGTCAGTTACCTACAAGGGAGTACTGATACAACTGTCAGCTGATTTCTCAACAGAAACTATGCAGGCCAGAAGGGAGTGGCAAGAAATATTCAAAGTGATGAATAGCAAGAAACTACAACCAAGATTACTTTACCCAGCAAAGCTATCATTCAGAATTGAAGGTCAGATAAAGAGCTTCACAAATAAGAAAAAGGTAAAGGAGTTCATCACCACCAAACCAGCATTATATGAAATGCTGAAAGGTATTCTTTAAGAAGAGGAAGAAGAAAAAGGTAAAGACAAAAATTAAGAACAGCAAATACATATGTATCAACAAGTGAATCTAAAAATGAAGTGAATAAAAAATCTGATGAACAGAGTAAACTGGTGAATATAATAGAACCAGGGGCATGGAAAGGGAGTGGACTGACAATTCTTGGGGGAAAGGGGTGTGGGGGTGCAGGAAGAGACTGGACAAAAATCGTACACCTATGGATGAGGACAGTGGGAGGGGTAAGGGCAGAGGGTGGGGTGGGAACTGGGTGGAAGAGAGTTATGGGGGGGAAAAAGAGGAACAACTGTAATAATCTGAACAATAAAGATTTAATTTAAAAAAAAGATAAATAAAATAAATGTTAAAAAAAGCAATATTCTCTAAAAGTTCATTAAAAAAAAACCACTATGCTTCACACACACACACACACAAACACACACACAGACACCTTCCCATAATGCAGTCAGGAACCAAGAAGTGAGCACATAAAACTTCAAGATATTTATCTCAAAGCCCACATCCATAAAAATAGAAGTGTAATATGCTAATTAGACTGGACGTCCTTCCAAATGACCTCCCGGACAAAGCCAGGACTGTATAGGAAGCCCAGGTCCCGGGGGCCTGCTGGTGGCCAGAGGGAAGCTGGGGTCCAGGTGCCTGCCAGCGGCCAGAGGGAAGCCCGAGGCCCAGTTCTCGCCGGTGGCAGGAGGGAAGCCCAGGTCCCAGGGGCCTGCTGGCGGCCGGAGAGAAGCCCAGGTTCCAGGTGCCAGAGGGAAGCTGGCGCTGGGGGCTGGGAGAAGGAAGGCCTACTCTTGCATGAATTTCGTGCATCAGGCCTCTAGTCTATATAGATAAAAGCCTAAACAACCAAATGACCCGTTGCTATGATGTGCACTGACCACCAGGGGGCAGATGCTCAACACAGGAGCTGCCCCCCTGGTGGTCAGTGCATTCCCACAGCCAACCTCCCATGGTCCCCCCACCCCCAGCAGGCCAACCTCCCGCGGTCCCACCCCCTCCCACCCCCCAGCCAGCTGGCCAACTTCCCGTGGTCCTTCCCCCCCACTAGCCACCCCCCCACCATCAGCCCCAATCGCTGGCCAGGCCGAGGGACCCCACCTGTGCACAAATTCATGCACCGAGCCTCTGATATTAAATAAAGCACGTGAGCCCTGACAAGTGTTTCTCAATGGTTAGAGTGCCGGCCCTTGCACCAAAGGGCCGCAAGTTTGATTTCCAGTCAAGGGCATATTCCTGCAGATTCAATCCCCATACCCGGTTGGGGCAGGAGCAGAAGAAACATCTCACATCCATGTTTCTCTCTCTATCTCTCTTTTCTCCTCACTCTCTCCCTCCCTCCCTTCCACTCTCTCTGAAAAGCAACAGGAAAAATATCCTCTGGTGAAGATTAACCAAAACATAAAATAAAATGAAGTACACAAACTTCAGTCACAGGTATGTTCCTCACTAAAGTTCTTTATCCAGAACCTAATTACATTTATTTTACAGAAAACTAAGAAGAATGGACAGTTTCTTAAACCATTACAATTAAGAAGTAGCAAAAGAACAAAAAAAAATTGCTACAAGCCTACACACTGAGAACAGAGGGAAGACACCCACCGCAACGAGTATGACAGAAAAACTATATTTAAAGAATAGGACACAGAGCTGACCCAGAACTGCAGCATGAAGCCATGAGTTTAAAGATAAAATGCCCCACTTGACAGGATCATTGTATTATAAAACTCAGTAAAATAATATGCTCATGATGCTAACCCTGAGTCATAGAGAAAATTAAATTATGTTCAGGATACATTTTAGAAAATAGGAGAACACAAAAAAATAATTTTAGTATTTTTCTAATTATAAAAATGATAAATGCACATTACAGAAAACAAGAAACATACAGTGAAAAATATGTTTTAGAAAGATATCAACCAGAATAATTAAACTTTTAAAAAGTAAATTTTGACACGTAAATCATTAATCTCAATTACCCAGAAAGCTAATTCCCCAAACAATGTCAGATAGTTTTACTATGCTCAGAGCAAACCGTGTGGGATGTAATTAAAAGTAATAGAGTATTGCTCAATCTCAAAACTAATGATTACTAGACATGCAGCTCGAATACAACCTACTTAAGTGCATGTCTAATTTGAGCTCCAGATCCACATTCCAATGACCTGAGAGACAGCAAGGATAGCCATTAAAGATTCAGGCTTGGATCCAGGCAAACTGCCATTCATTCAAGTTTCAGCTCTGTTTAGTAGCCAGGTGACTTAGACATGTGAAAAAAGTTGGGCAAATAGTAAGGTTACATTGCCCTAACCGGTTTGGCTCAGTGGATAGAGCGTCAGCCTGCAGACTTAAGGGTCCCAGGTTCGATTCCGGTCAAGGGCATGTACCTTGGTTGTGGGCACATCCCCAGTAGGGAGTGTGTAGGAGGCAGCTGATTGATGTTTCTCTCTCATCGATGTTTCTAACTCTCTATCCTTCTCCCTTCCTCTCTGTAAAAAATCAATAAAATACAAATATATATATAAATATATATATATATTAAAAAAATTAAAAAAATAAAGTTACATAAGATCTTCTTCATCATCTTATCATCATTACTCTTACTAATGTCCTCCCAGAAATGTTCATGTTAAATTCTAAGAATGGTGCGCAAGTACAGCCAAAGCTTAAGTAAAACCTAGTAAATCCAATCAATATACTAAGCACCTATTTATGTGCTAGAGAGCTATTGTAGGAATTGAGCTTGAAAAGGCAGATTGGTATCTATCCATCCACCCGACCCCCAAAATAAAAACTTCATCCTGCGATTCTTATTTCTGTTAAAGGCACCAATATTCCCTCAGCTGTTTAAGCATTAAGCATCCTTGTCTAATCCCTATCCATCACCCTCTATATCTGGTTACCTATAGATATACATTGGCTGTCATATCTGTTAATCTACTCATCTAATTCCTACAACCACCTGGTCAGATACTCATTATTCCAATACAGCCTTTTACTTAGTGTTCCTATTTTTAGTTTGTTCCCACCTACCTACCATGCTACTCCCAGTAGTAGGTAGGAATGTGTTTTATATAAGTCACTAAATATTTAATGTTTCTAGTGCTCCTTTTTTCCCCTGAGCCTGCTAATCAAACTCCAACTTTATGTATGATGAATACATATGTTATCTGTATAATTTTTAAAAATTAAGCTATTAAAATACATAGTAATTTCTTTAAGAACCAAATACCAAAGGTAATTTTATAGATACACTATTTCAAAAGAAAAACAGGTACAGCTTAATTAGTGCAGCCAGAGGGAAATATGGTTTACAGAATGTTATTGCTTATTAGACCTTATTTTACACATTGGTTTCACACACAAGAACTACTAATAAAGTATAATCTGGAAAGTTCTAGACTGATTCTATAACTGTCTAGCTATATCACTTTAAGCAAGTTATATTATTAATCTACTAAAGGCCCAGTGCACGAAATTCGTGCATGGAGGTGTGTGTGTGTGTGGGGGGGGGGGGGGGGTCCCTCAGCCCGGGCTGCACCCTCTCCAATCCAGGACCCCTCAGGGGATGTCCGACTGCCGATTTAGGCCCCATCCCACAGGGACCTAACTGCTGGCTTCTAACCACTTGCCTGCCTGATTGCCCCTAACCACTCTACCTGCCTGCCTGATCGCCCCTAATTGCCTCTGCTTGTCGACCTGATCACCCCCTAACTGCCCCCCTGCTGGCCTGGTTGCCCCCTAACTGCCCCTCTGCCGGCCTGGCAGCCCCCTAACTGCACCCCTGCTGGCCTGGACACCCCCTAACTTTCTGGAAGGAAGTTGGATGTCTGGAAGATATCCGGTCGACCTGGTCTAATTAGCATATTACCCTTTTTTTAGTATAGATATGGACCAAAATTTCATTATCTATGAAATAATGGATTTTATGACTCTCCTAGGGTCTCTTTCAGCAATAAGATTCTAAGAATCTAAGATAATTCATTTATTTTTAATGTTAAATCTCACAAGGTTCTCAGTCAAGCAAGTATTTAATCCTTTTTAATAACAAAAAATCAGTGAGGGGAGATTGTAAATAAAACCCATTCTCCCTTGTAGAGTCTCAAAAACACTTCAAAAAGTTACCTCTTTTTCTGGAAGACTTCTTCCTTCCAGCGGATTTCAATGTTTGTTTGTTTCTTTTTTCCCTGGTTGCTTGACCAGAGGCAGAATCAGAGTCAGAAGAGTCAAGTCTGACTTGGCGATGCCTTCTTGACTTGGAAGCCTTAAGAGTAAGAAATCCAATTAACTATAATGAGTTGCAAAATGAATACAGCTGATAAAGACAAAATACACAATCAAAGACGAGGAAAGATTTACAACGATATTTGTCATAAGTAGTTTACCATTACACTGGCTTGCTTGATACTTGTCACATGTAAATACTCCTTTATTTTTACATCTAGAGGCCTGGTGCACAAAATTGGTGCACTCGGGAGTGGGGGTCCCTCAGCCTGGCCTGCGCCCAGTCTGGGAGCTTTTGGGGGATGTCCACCTGCCAGCTTAGACAGTCAGACATCCCTCTGGCATCCCAGAAGTACCATTTCTCAGCCTCAAAACTAAACAACTGACCTCATTCTGTGGGAAATAGGTTTGCTCTCTAGAGAGTCTAAACCAGGGAAGCTATAGGCTTGGGAAAACTGGTATAGCTGAGGTTAAATGAAACCTACATAGGAATGGTAAATCTCTAGATTAATTCTCTCGGTCAGCTTCCTGGGTTTATTCACCACTTTCTTTCCCCAGACAGGGAATGGAAGACTGCTATCTGGTAAAAATGACTATATCCAAGAAAAAGAAATATTGAGATTAAAATGCTGTATCTCCACATGACCACTCTTAAAAATGATCCAAGAATCTTCAAACATTTGAAAAAGCCAGCAAAATAGGAACTCCAAGAGAAAAGGAGGAAACTTCAAAAAACCGTAATTAATATCCACAGAGATAAGATAATGCATCCAGAAAAAAATAAAGAATACTTCAAAGACAAAAATCAGTAGTGAAAAAATGTCAGCAGAAATTCAATGTAATGTTCAGAAAACAAAGTTTAAGAAATCTCTCTGAAAACAGATTAAAAACAGAAAAAAAAAAGTTCAAGAAAAGAAAAAGCAAAAATGCAGCAAAGAACTCTATCAAAGAAACAAGACAAAAAAATTCCTCAGAACTGAAGGTTATTAGATCAAAGGATGCCCACCCATGAGAGCCAAGGACAATGAGGGAAAATTACCTACATCAAGTCACATTATCATGAACTTTCAGATCTCCCGGGATAAAGAGAAAATCCTAAAACCTTCCAAGAACAAGAAAACAAAAGCTGGAAGACAATAAAGAACAACGGCATCGCCCTAGCCAGTTTTACTCAGTGGATAGAGCGTCGGCCAATGGGCTGAAGGGTCCCGGGTTCGATTCCAGTCAAGGGCACAGACCTCAGTTGTAGGCTCATCCCTGGCCTTGGTCAGGGTGAGTGCAGAAGGCAATCAATCGATGTGTTTCTCTCATATCCATGTTCCTCTGTCTCTCCCCCTCCCTTCCACTCTTTCTAAAAATCAATGGAAAAATATCCTCAGGTGAGGATTAAAAAAAAAAGAACAATGGCATCAAAATTCCAGGTAAATACCAGAAGTAATTAAAAGGGAAAAAGTTAAAAAATAAAATAAAAATAGCCTCAGGCAGTTTGGTTCAGTGGACAGAATGCCAGCCTGTGGACTGAAGGGTCCTGGGTTCATTTCCAGTCAAGGGCACATGCCAGGGTTGCAGGCTTGACCCTCAGCAAGAGCCATGCAGGAGGTAGCCGACCAATGATTCTCTCTCATCACTGATATTTCTATCTCTCTCTCCCTCTTCCTTCCTCTCTGAAACTAATAAAAATATTTTTTTAAATGGTATATTTAAAACTAATAATAATAATATAAATAAATAAATAAATAAATAAATAAATAAATAAATAAAACAGAAAAAGTTGAAGACAGTTGCCTCTTGAGATTAGGAATACAGGGGTGGGAAGTGGTGGAGCAGGAAACTGTTGGGTTATACAAACTATTCAGTATTATCAGCCTTTTAAAACTATGTACATGTATTACTCAGATGAAAAATAAAAATGTAATTAAAAAAGCATCAAGTCAATTTCTAAATTACCTTAATAAAGAAATAACTTACCTGAACAACAACTGCAAAGGCCTTTGATTTTATTTTTGCTAATGATGCTGCCCTTTCACACGACTGGAAATAAAAATACAAAGGAAGGGGAAAAGTTAAAACATAAACATTAAGTGAAACTATGAATACCCACAGAAATAAGATTTTAGACAGAGGTAGGGTACAAGAAAGTAAAGATACAAAAACACACACCACATTTTCACAGCAGGTGCCATAGCTACTGATTGTTTTCATTCAGGATTTAAGGAGGATAATATAAACAAAAGCCTTGGTGATGAAGCCATTCCACCTCATTGGCCTATGCCCAAAGACAGCTCTTGTCTCATCCACTAAGATGGATGAAACCTCTAGAGCAGTGGTTCTCAACCTTCCTAATGCTGCAACCCTTTAATACAGTTCCTCATGTTGTGGTGACCCCCAACCATAAAATGATTTTCGTTGCTACTTCATAACTGTAATTTTGCTGCTGTTATGAATCGTAATGTAAATATCTGGTATGCAGGATGTATTTTCATTGTTACAAATTGAACATAATTAAAGCATAGTGATTAATCACATAAACAATATGTAATTATTTATGTGTTTTCCGATGGTCTTAGGCGACCCCTGTGAAAGGGTTGTTTGACCCCCAAAGGGGTCGCGACCCATAGGTTGGCGACCCATAGGATGGTGACCCACAGGTTGAGAACCACTGCTCTAGAGGTAGGAAGCAGTACTGAGTAGCTTGAGCTCCACACCAGCTGAAAGGCTGACAGGAAGCAAGAAAAGACCTAATACAAAACCCTAATTCTGCCCTTGGCACTCCAGCATCATCCTTCCCTTCCTCTGCTGAAAACTGTCAACATCCTCACTCCCAATCAACACCTGATGTTGTCTTACACAAGGTTTCCAGTAAAAATAGACTAGCTTGTCACAGAACCCAGGTTTCAGAATTTTCTAAGATATTTATTAATACTGACCAAAAATCATGATGCTTAGTATACAGAATCATAGCCACACATAAAATAAAAAGCGAATCAAATACTGCCCTATCAGCAATCACTGTGAATTTTTCTGACCTCTGATTCTTGTGAATTTCCTTCCCTCTTTTCTTCTTCATCTTTACCTTTCAATTTTAAGGATGGATTCTGAAAGAGCAAAAATTTATATAGACACATTAACAATTCAAATGATCTAAACATTAATTGCAAGTCATTTCAGAACAATGAGAATCATTTACTTAATTATTGAAAAGCTGAAAGATCATTTCACATTATTGAAGTACTAGAGGCCCAGTGCACAAAACTTGATGTGTTAATGTCAGCCCGGCCTATGCCCTCTCGCAGTCTGGGAGCCCCACGATCTATCACCCCACAGAGGGAGGCCCCACCCACCGCAGCGCTGCTGGCCAGGTAGCCTGGGCCTCCCCTCTGGGGTTATCACAGAGCCCACCCACCCCCAATTGATCGCCCCACCGGCCGGTGGCCTGGGCCCCCCTCTGCCGAGTGATCGTGGGGCGGTGGCAGGGGTCCCCGACCAATAGCACCCACCTTGGCTGGCCTGGCGCCAGTGCATGTCATAGCGTGGTCAATTTGCATATTATACTTTTATTATTATAGACTAGAGGCCTGGTGCACGAATTCGTGCATGGGTGGAGTCTGACCCACCCTGATCGGGGGACGGGGCCAGCTGGGGGGAGGGCCAAGGCAGTTGGCCGGCTGACCCCACACCCTGGTCAAACTCCCAGTCAAGGAGACAATTTTCATATTATCCTTATATTATATAGGATGGTTCACCACCTGACAATTAAAATCATGGTTAGGTTTCAGAATAGTTCTAAAATTCATAAAAAAAAAAAATGCCTTAATCATCCTAATGAAGGAGGATTTTATGTGGAAAAGAAAATTGGTTTATTCTCCTTTCCTTCAAATTTTCAGAGGTCTTAGTAATATCTTAGTAATCATTTAAGATAGTTTGTTAAAAGGGAGTACTATTCAAACATTCTAAAATGTTCTACCTCATTAAAATAAATGTGAAAGCAAAGTATTTCCTTCTCCCCAAGACTGTCATCTTCTCATCACTTTTCTTGTATTTTTTTTCTAAAATGAATTTGAGCCAGCTCCTTTTATATAATGGAAAGCCAAAGAAGCAACAAATCTTTCTGAAAACTTATCTAGCATTTGAGAAAACATTAACACATTATCACATTCACAGTAAGTAATCAGAAATTGCTTCTTTTTACTTTTTTTTTTTAGAAGCATTTAATAAAATAAGATGGAGTAGTGGTTTCAAAGGCTGGCCTTTAGGTTTGCAGAGTAAAAAAGTTTCTCCAGCTGAAAAGGTTAATGTGGAATATGAGTAGCTCTAGCCTCAGTATTTAGGTCAGGAAATTAAATTGCAGATGCGTTGATGAAACTTGTAAATGAATAAACCAAGGCTGGCAGCGCACAATGGGGCAGCCACCACTCAGGTCTAGCTCTCTGCTGCCATGCAGCAAAGCGGGACCAGGACTGCCAGAGCTCTGACTTTTAAGAGAAGCTGGGTGTCTGGAATTTTGCATGAAGTCTACAAATATTTACGTTAGTAATTAACTCACATTTTTAAAACAATGTTAGGATCAATGCTGTGCCAAACAAAACACATCTGTGTGCAGGATTTGGCCCACAGAGCGCAACCTCCAGAAGATGCTAAATTTTAAAGACTGCAATAAATCTGTGGTACGCCAGGATGACTCATTCCTCTATAATTATATAGTTACATATATTACTTAATTATACATTATATAATTGTTATTAATTATTATTATTTGGTTATAGATGTAATCTATATAGAATCTGTTTGTAAGGTTAAAGAACATCACATAGCTAATAAGTGGCCAAAAAAAAATAAAGCCCTCCAAATCTTAGGTCCACAGGAATGCAGCCAGCCACTCAGCTAGCTGCCTCTCAACATTATCACCCTTCTGTGTTCAGTGCAATTGCAAAGGTGAGGTATCAAAAAGCAGTCACATACCTTCCTGTCTTTGTGCCACTGCTGATGCTCCAAAATTATGGTCTTAATATTATCAAAGAAATCATCCTTTACCAAGCTGAGGGTTTTGTTTGGATTGGACTTATCGGCTGAAATTACATGTTTCATGTTCTGATAAAGATCATGAACATTTAGCATTTCCTAAAGGTGAAAACATGAGTCTTTTATTCAGTTTTATAGGAGAAATTTACAGGCAAAACCAACACAAAATAAAATGGCCTTCCAAAGTGACTGTGTTGATAAGGAATAACAATGCCATAGTATACTGAAAATAGTATTTAATAAAGAGGCTGCTTTCCAAAGGTATGGATTCATTCAATTCAACTCAACAAACATTAAGTAACATACACTGCATGGGGAAAGACTAATGGTTAATAAATGACTGAATTCCTGGATATAACAAAAATTATTTGTAGTATAACATATCATTAAATATCACTACTGATAATAACTAAAATCCCATTTTTATTTTATATTGTCATACCAAGGATATGCACATAGTTCTTTATGCTCAGCTGGAAGTTCCTGTATGATTCACCTAATCCCCACAGAGATGTGCTGGCTTTCACAGGTCTCAAAGCCTATGTGCCTGTACCCAAAACTTCATCATTGCTTCAATATTAAAAGTTAGGATTAAAGCCGAAACCGGTTTGGCTCAGTGGATAGAGCGTCGGCCTGCGGACTGAAAGGTCCCAGGTTCGATTCCGGTCAAGGGCATGTACCTGGGTTGCGGGTACATCCCCGGTAGGGGATGTGCAGGAGGCAGCTGATCGATGTTTCTCTCTCATCGATGTTTCTAACTCTCTATCCCTCTCCCTTCCTCTCTGTAAAAAATCAATAAAATATATTAAAAAATAAATAAATAAATAAAAGTTAGGATTAAAAAAATAGAGGGGATTTATGACACCATTTGAGGCAATGTTCATTAATGAGACCTTTCTCCTCCAGAAACCTTCAGCTAAATTGGCAGATCTATGGGGTAAGGAGAAAGACAGCACACTTAAGAAATCAAATAAAACTGGTATTGGGACTTGGCTCAAAGTTCAGCAGGGAACTAGTGACATCTGAGTCATCCCTAAGTTGGGCTACTCAATTCATTTCTAGATTTTGACAGAATAAGAGACATCTGTTCAAGGAATCAGAAACTGCTTAGTGGTGGTGAGTGCTCATATATGCAAGATTTTCAAAGGGGAACACTGTCCAGACATGGGGAGCCCGTAACTTTTTACAGTTTACCATGTGCTGTATTCCCATTATTTTACCACATGCAGGGGAAAGACCATTAGCTGGACCTGGTTTTGGCCTGAGTTCTGTCACTTGCTAGACTGTGACCTTGAGCAAATCCCTCAATTGAGAATCATGTTCCACAATTGTACAAAATTAAGCAATGCCACCTAACCCACTGTAAAAATAGTAGTTGATTTTATGAAAGTGAGAGTGTTCTGTATAATGTACCAGTAAATCACTATACAAAATTAAAGTGTTAAGACATAAAATAAAGTGCTTGGACTCTGGAGCCTTATAGACTTGGACATTCAAATCCAGTGTCTACACCTTACTTTATTTACTTTTAAATATGTTTTTACTGATTTTTAGAGAGAGAAGTGAGAGGAACAGAGAAATAAAAACATCTATGAGAGAGAAACATCAATCAGCTGTCCCCTGCACATCCCCTACTGGGGATGGAGCCAGCAACCTGGGCATGTGCCCTTACTGGGAATCGAGCTGGTGACCTCTTAGTTCATGGGTAGACACTCAACCAGTGAGCCACACCAGCCAGGCTGCACCTTACTTTTTGCAAATTACATAACTTCTCTGAGCCTCAGTTTCCTTGTTTTTAAAATCAGGAAAATACCACCTCCTCTGCAAGGTTACTATCATGATTAGGGAGATAACATAAACATTTAACATAGTTCCTGGTACATGTTGAAAACTCAGCACATAATGGCCATTATTATAATTGTATAAATGAAAAACAAAAAAGACTTAGAAATAAAATAATTAGCTGAAGGTCATATTTAAGTAGCAGAGTTTGAATTAAAAATCAGATGTTTGATTCAATATCCTATCCTCTTCATTTTATTATGCCTCCTTAACCACAAAACTAAAACCAATGAGTGGCAGAATCACGACCAGAATTCAGGTCTGCTGACATGGAGACATAAAAGCATTTGCAAGTAGAAAAGTATTAAATTTAAGGATTATCAATGAGTGTGGGTCAAAGGCTAGACAAGGACATGACAAGTAGAATTAACAGAGGTACCGAGAGAAAAGGCTCTCAAAGCAAATCTGTGACAAGCCAAAGATGTGAGATAAAGTCAGGATGACTTCAGACTCCTCCATTCTTAGAAGCTTCTAGGAGTAGGCATCCCATAGCCTGGCCCTCCTCTCCAATCACCCTAAAAGATAGGCCTTTGTGCATCATCCCAGCTCTGTTCTCTTCAATCTTCCTAGTTTTCAATAGTGGGTTTTCAAATAAGCATTGTAAAAAGGAACTTAGAAAATAAATACACATTGTTAAAAAAAAAATAAACTCACTTTAAATTCTTGTTTCACCACCTACCTAAAAAGTCAAATACAAATGTGGTTTCAGTATCTGAATCTAAATATCCTGAGTTGAAATCCAGTCTTATATATCTTTGTTTCTTACTGTATTTTGTGATTTATCCCATAAACTTTGATATATTTAGGGTGCATATTTCTGATACATTAGAGAAAATAATATTCATTCTATGGTTAAAGTCATTAAAAATTTTTCAGTATCCAGTAGATAAAGGTATAACTTCAATATATAGTTAACAATAAAACTATTTATTTTTAAATTTCAAGAGAATAAAAGAAATTTACCTCTAATACATCAGAAGTGATAAGTTTCATTACACGATCATTTGGTTCCTTAAATTCTTCCGTAACTGGAGTTCGCTGAACTTTTTTCTTCATTCTAAATGACAGCTATTTGATAAAGAATGTCTTTTAAAGTATATTTTTAAATATGGAAATAAGACAGCAGCAAAAATTGTCTATCAGTAAACATGGATGAAACAAAAGCAGCACTATGTACATATTAAATAAGCCATTTTTTAAAGACTGTTAGAGATAATCCTTTTGAGATAATCCTTAAGATGCCATGCCAAGTACTTACAGATTCTGATATTCAAAGAAGTTCCATATTTTCCAGCTGATGGCAGAGCCAAAACTAAAACCTAGTGCTCTTCTAATGTAGTTTCTCAATTGTCATAAGATCAAAGAGATATCATATTTTATTAGTGGAAGTTTCAACTTTTCACCAACTGACATTAAAATTCTTTGGTTGTCTTTCAGCCGTATCCTCTCTGATGTTTGAATAAAGAATGAACAAATGCAGATACTGAATTTAATGTCCTCCCCTAACAATCTGCCTAACAGATGGCATTCGGAAATGCACTGCATTTAAAAGCAGAGCCTGAATTTTGATTGCAACAAAAAGTAATCAGGAAGCATTTTCTCCTATTTTAGGAAGCCTTTCTACAAGTACTGGAAACTATATAATAATCTCTCCACATTATGGAGACTGAGGCACTTTATGGACAATGAAGTATAATTTCTCATTTTGAAGAAACAATTTATTTTAGGTAACATACCAATTTGGGCATTGCTGTAAAGTGAAATGCTTTGTCTAGTCGTAGCTTCCTAAAAATATAGGCTACATCAAAATGTTCCGAATTTATCAAATCTTGTTGAAATTTTAAAATTTCATCCCAGTCCCTCAGGGCAACTCTAATCTGCAAACAAGAGAAGCAAAAAAAGTCGTTACTAAATGTAAATCTTCTTTCACAAATGTTTTATATTTTGAAACACTGGCATTTCTGTATACATCAAGTTTGTTATAAAAATATTGTACCCGTTTAGTGTTTCTGCTGGTGGAAAACAACTCATCAAGTATTACCTTTTGTTTTGGTTGACACAGTTGGGTGTTATATAATCCATACAGCAGATACAAAGCACCAACTCGGATCTGGAAGGCGTATGGAGGTAAAAAATATCGCCAAGCCAAAGCTAAAGCTTCTTTTGTAAATGTGTTCTTTTCTAAATTTCTCATTTTGCCACTAGAAAACAAAGAGAAAATATGTTACAACTTTAAGTAAATAAGTAAGGAACAAAAATTACAAGAGGTATATTCTAGCAGCTGCTAGAAATTGGGTGGGCGTTCCACATCTAATCCCTTCCTGATTCAAGCACAAAGACCTAACCTTTGGTTGTATTTCCTCCACTGAGGCATAGGCGTACACTAGGTAAACATGATGCATCTTCCTAAAGCATCAATTTAACTTGCTGAATTAGGGAGCAAAGGGGGTGGGGAATGCATCTTATTCCTGGTTAAGAATTTATATCCTATATAAAAAAGCCTAATATGCTAAGTGTCCGGTTGTCCACTCAACCAAAGCGTAATATGCTAATGATATGCTAAGGCTGCTCAATCGCTCGCTATGATGTGCACTGGCCACCAGGGGGCAGAGAGTTGACCGGTTGATCAGTTGCTATGACGTGCATTGATCACCAGGGGGCAGACGCTCCAACCATTAGGTTAGCTTGCTGGGGACTGAGGGAGATGAGCCGGACATGCCCTGGAGCCCTCCCACGGCCCCTCCCTGCTGCTGGCCCAGCCCCCAATGGGCCCCCATCGGGGCAGGCCAGCCAGACCCCACCCTCTAGTATCAAAATAAGCATGATTATGTTACAGAATAAAATACACAAGCTACATGTATTTTAATATATAATGGATATTTTCCCCAATACTCTCAGGGATTCACACTAAACCTCATTTGTCCTTGGGACACCTAGATAAAAAAAGTTAGAGACCATAAATACATCCCACCCCCTCCTTTCAATTCTTCAGGGCAAAGCTCACTTAAGTAAAGAAGGAACAGGAGCAGGATAGGAAAGTATACTCCACTTTACTCCCAAAGCCTGGGCTCTTCAAATAATAAATACAATAAAAGAATGCAAAATACCTACTTTAAGGACAGGCAACCAAAGCAACTTCTAAAGAAAATCCCCTACTCCTCAAGCGGTCTATATTTTTCCCCTCATTTTAGTTTTTTCTCATTAGCTAAAAAATGAGGTAACCCCAGCAAAATGTTCCTGAACTACCACATTTCCCAAGAGGATTACAGTGAAAGATAATGGGTTTTGCAAACAGGCAAACATATAGGTTTCCATATCTGCTTTACCACCTACTTACTAGCTATGTGATCAGGGAGAATTACTTAACCTCCTTAAACCTCATTTTCCTCATTTATAAAACATCCATTATACCAGTTTCTCAGAGTTGTTCTATGGATTAAATACGTTAAGCTATAGATGCATTACATGTAGTAGCTATTAAAAAATAGTCTCTCTCCTATCATTAATTGTACAACAAGCAGCTCTCCACCCTCTATCCCCTGCAATGTACAAACTGCATAGGTAATTATTTTACATCAACAGAGAGAAAAAAGATAACTTTTACATTTTATTCAGCAAAGTTTTAATCACAAGAACTCATTCATTCAATTACTTAGCCTTTTCAATATTATATGCATTATGCTAATGACCAGATGCATCCAGTCATTGTCCTCACAGAGCTTTGTGTAATGGAGGGAAAAATCTATATAATAAAAACCTAAGTGACCATTATGGCAGAACGACCGGAACAACCGGTCACTATGATGCACACTGACCACCAGGAGGCAGATGCTCAACGGAGCTGCCCCCTGGTGGTCAGTGCGCTCCCACAGGGGGAGCAACACTCAGCCAGAAGCCAGGTTCTTGGCTGGCGAGTGCAGCAGCGTGGCGGGAGCTTCTCCCACCTCTGTGGTAGCGCTAAGGAGCAGTGAGCCAAGTGGTAAGGAGCAGCGAGCAGGTGGGCAGTAAGGAGCGAGGGGTCCCGGGCTGTGAGAGGGATGTCCGACTGCTGGCTTAGGCCTGCTCCCCATGGGAAGCGGGCCTAAGCTGGCAATTGGACATCCTCAAGGGGTCCAAGACTGCGAGAGAGC